CCCAAAATATGCTAGAAATGATACGGAGCATGTTTTCGTCGGACATCGGAAATATAGGCCACACCTCTGCAGAGCTGAGCAATCACAGCATGAAGTGGGTGTGAATGATGAATTGTTGGTTTTGTAAAGTCCACCATAATCCCACATCGAAAAAGGTGTGTGTGTGTGTGTGTGTGTGTGTGTGTGTGTGTGTGTGTGTGTGTGTGTGTGTGTGTGTGGTAGTGTTCTTGTGCAGAACATTAGCGCCTCCTACTGAAATCCACGATCTCTGCCGTGTGTTTGCCCATGTGGCCACAGAGGAAATCTGAACCACATGTTGGCTCTATGACACACACTCACACACACACTCACACACACACACACACGCTACCTCACGCACACACACGCTACCTCACGCACACACACGCTTGTTTTCGAAAACTTTTGTTGTCTGTTAATGAAGCAGCGAGGGATAAAAACATGTGTAGGCACGCAAAAATAAAGGCAGTACATGCACAAGTATACAGCGCCCTCATGCACGTTCACCTTTATGCTACCCTCTGACTCACATAGGTACTACACACACACACACACACACACACACACACACACGCTGGGCTAATATGCAGGTTAGCATCTGGCAGAATGGGGGGGGGTTAAAAGGGAGGAGCAGTGCGGTCCCTTAGCTCCTATAATCTAAGAGGTAAAGAGGGTCTTGTCTCTCGTAACAAGTAGGTTGTAATATGTTGGAGGACACACACACACACCCACACACACACACACACACACACACACACACACTCCGCTCACTCTGCCAGGGAACTGCATACACATGGTGGTTTCCTTTCACACGTTGTTGACAGCGGCCACCCCCCCCCCCCCTCCAATCCTGGACATTTTGGATTCATTCAGACGAACGCACAAAAACAGGGAAGAGAAAAAGCAAAGAAAGACAGTAAAAGTGAGAAAGTGTGAAGTCGGCGTCGCACTGAAGCTGCTCCCGCCTTCTGCTGACTGACGGTCCGTCCACTTCATTTCTTTGCTGAGTGAGAGAAAAAGAGAAAAAGTAAAGGGGGGGGGCACTGTCAAACCCCTCACACACTGAACCTTTATACCCCACTGGCAGAGGACCAGACTCCACGAAGCCCCCTGAGCTCCCGGCGCACCCCCACACAGTTCCCATCCTACCCACCAGCACCACCAGCCGAGTTCTCAATCCATCACGCTCTGCTCAGCTGAGGCCGAGCTGAACCCCGGAGCACAAAACCCCTTTAGTATTAATACCCATCTGCTCCCTCAGTGCCCACTCACTCTCTGGGAGAGGAGAGTTTTCCACCGCACGTTCTCACTCTGGAAGGTTTATGCAGATCAGGAGGGAAGATACTGTATCGGTGTTCTACAGGCCCGGCGCTCTCACATATACACACCGGCCCAACTTGGCTTCTTTTCATCTCAACAGGATAAAATCATCCAGGGAGAGACAGAGAAAATAATCCATTTCTCAGAGCCTGAGTACGACCCGTCAGGTTTCTCAGAGCACAATAGGATGATGAAATTCCCTGGTTCTGTGTGTGTGTGTGTGTGTGTGTGTGTGGATGTGGTTGTACAGAGTTCAGTGTTTGTCTTGGGTGTTTTTGCTCTTAGCAGGGAATTAGTGAGACAGCTTCAGTTTCATCGTTCGTAAACGTGCGTTTATCTGTCCATCTGCGCGTGCGTATATGTTTGCGTTGCGAGGTTATACGGTTTCTGTGTGCGCCGATACCGCAGTGTAAATGAGAGGTGTTGACAGGGCCTTTCTTCCTGTGGTGCATTGTGGGCTTTTAACAGTCAGTGAGACTCGCAGCAGACAATTGGCTGCATTCATTATTTTAATCAGTGAGATTTGGGGCAGTGAAACCTTCCAATAAGCATTCTTATGTTCTCCCAATTGAAATGACAATTAAAATAATATAATAATAATAAACTTTATTTATAGAGCACTTTTCATACAAGAGATGTAGCTCAAATTGCTTTACAGTAGAAAATCAAATACTACAATAAAATAAGGGCCAATAGAAGGACAATGAAAACATGATGAAATATGAAAATGAAAATAAGAGAAACCATTAAGAATAGTAAAGTATGAGGGAATTAATTAAAAGCCAAGTAAAATAAATAGGTTTTCACCTGTCATTTAAGATGTTCACTGAGCATCTCTTATAGCTCTTGGCTCAGTTTTCCATAGTTAAAAAAAAAAGAAGCTGCGCTGCCTATTTTCTCATGCATAAAATTGTATGTATTTAAAAGCTGCCAGGAGAAAATGTAAGAGCTCGTGAAGGATTATAAAACAACAGAGCCGGTCCCAAACCACGAAGAGCTTTAAAAACAAGTAAAAAGTATGTTCAAAATCTATTCTGAAAGACACTGGGAGCCAGTGAGCTGAAGCTAAAACTCAGGTAAAATGACTCTCGTCCTTGTTTCAGTTAAAAATCCAGCAGCACAGAAGAGCAGTAAAAAAAGCTCTGCACTAATCTAATATATTTCAAATGAAAGCATGAATTCTTCTTTATGAGATTAAAATATATTATGGGATTAAAGATATTTATTAAATGATAAATATTTTTGGTTATACCACAAAAAATGTCTTTGCACTTCTTGAGGTAATTGATTTTTTGCTTTTTCTTAATTTTAGGGAATGTAATTTATTATGTAATTTATTGTGTAATTTATTAGAATAGAAAGCATAACTTTATATAATCAAATGAAATGATCATCCCCAGTATTTACAGTGATGGAAATCAGTCAACCAGTGATGATCAATGATCAGTCTGGACCAGGTTCCAGTCATGAATGGTAGAGATCGGCTACCTGCTGAACATCTGCACCTCAGCACTGTCGTGTGAGTGTGTTATTATTAGTCTTTGGTGATATTTATTGTAGACACAGTGAGAGAGAGACAAGAAAGAGAGAAAGGGCCACAGTTGGTTAGTTGCAGTTAGGATTAAGCCTTAACGGTACGCGCTCCTCCAGGTGAGCCGACGAGGCGTCCCCAGTCACGTCAGCATGTTAGCACGCTGGCGTTAGCATTTAGCTGAAAGCAATGCAGCACGGAAACAAGAACATGTCCCCAGTAAGGTCAGATTTTATTTGTTAAAATCAAAACTTAGTCAAAGTGTCATGAGTCTCCGAGTCACTCGCCTACACTTTGAACTGGAGAGGAAACACAGATGCAACAGACAACAACAGACAGAGACAGCTCTCCAGTCCAGTCCAGTCTGGTCCAGTACGGGACAGTACAGGACAGGACACTCTTGAAAGGGGCCCCTACATGCACCCACAAATAAAAGTTCCAGGACTTTCCTCCTCTTGGAGTGCATAAATAAAAGTCTCTCAGTCTTCCTGCCCCCCCTCCCATCCATGTAGAATTACTTATGAGTGTGTCCAGCTGCTGAGGCAGGCCACCGCTCAGCTCCACGCCGACGGCACACATCACTTAGCCTCTGGGTAACCCTGTGCACCTACAATGCAAGTCATCCTCCGGCAACGGGGCTAAATCATTGCTGGCCCCTGCCCCCCCCTTTTCTTTTTTTGCATTGTTCGTGGCTTTGATCACGACCGAGCCTCAGTTGCCACTTCTGCACATCAGGCTGAAATGGGCAGCAGCTTCAGACTCTTTATAGCACGGGACTGAAAATGTGATTTGTTTTATGGCTGCTCCTGTAATAAATGCACCCAGAAGAATGTTAAAATGGCCGAAGGGTTCAGGTGTCTCCACCTTCTTAGCTGATGTGCAAAGGCCGACAAAAGCTGCAGTATTTTATATTTTAGCTGAAACCTGCTGCTGAACAAAACAGACGTATGTAGAAGTTATGAGTCAAGGTACAATTAACTAATATAACCCCATATATAACCCACTGAACACTATACTGTATTAAATATTAAATCATTTCTTTGCACTATACTTGAGTGCACTGCAACGTAAAATGATAAATCAAATATATATTTAACTTTCTTCTTGTTTTCAGACACCAGAAATGAAAGTTGTATCTTTAAATGAATCCCTGAGAGTTTACTGAGAAACTGAGAATTTAATTTGCTCAATGGAAAGTTTTGACATTTAAAAGTCAGTTAAATTACAAGCACTGTGTCTTCTTACACGGACGCTCTTATTTATTGGAAAGAGAACCTTTCCAGTCCTGCTTTTTTGTTTTTTTTTGTTTTGTTTTTTTACTGCAGAAACACCAGCATTTGAAACCAGAGCTCAGCTGACAAATCTTCTGCCTGAGATTCATTTTGCATCTGGCAACAAGCTGCCTGAGGAATCGCAGAGCTGTTTTTGAGGGAAGTTTAGTGACACAGATAAGAGCGAAAAAGCCTCGGCCAGAGCTGTTTGATTGTGTAATGGAGAGCAGGCTTTCGTGTGGCTTTCTCCTCTTAAAGTTATTTTATTCTGCTGTTTTTTTTTTCTTTCTTTTTCTTCTTCTCAGTGTCGTAGATTTTCTCACTCAGTCTCATCTGCTCCTCCTGAACTGTGAAGTCTGATTACATTTGGCCTACTACACTTCACCATCCTCGCTGCCTATTTCTCGGGTGAAATTATGCTTGGCCCTTGCTTTGGACGTATTTCCTGGTTCTGTGCTGAATTATGGTTGGCACATCAAGCTCAGTGAACCTTGGTTATGCTGCCTGGATTTTTTTTTTTCTGGCTGGATATGTTCACAATAGAGCTTTTCAGGATTTTTGAACATGTCTGGGCTGAAGTTTATTCTTCAGAAATACTTTTAATTTCAGCAAAGAAACTCGATTCTCTTTTGTCGACATTTGTTCTGTTTTGCCCGAAGATGCCACAGAGAGAGAGACTCTTCCACTTCGCTGTGGAGAGTCTGTTTCCCGACAGGCCGACCGTCAGAAATCTATTTTGTCTGTCAGGTTTTGCTCATCAGCTGCTGTGAGAATGTCTTTTTATTTATTTTTTTATTTTTTTTTATTCCTCCCTAATTTTCTCTCTCTGACAACATTTCAACATCCGTAGATTTTGTCTAGTGCTGCCTTTACATTGTAAGTGCCATCACTCCATATTGAATTTAGTATTCTGAAGATTTCTGCTCTCGTTTTTTCTCCTGCCTGTCTGTTTCTCTTCCAGTCATGTGTTTGGCCTCGCTAAAGAAAACATTGGCCGTGTAGTCCAACAGGAAATACTCCCACATCTGGTGCTGGTTCAGAACATCAACATGAAGAAGTAGGCTTTATGGGGAGTTAATGTGCGCCCCCCCCCCCCACCCCCCTCTCTATCCAAGCCCCTGACATAGCCTCTCGTACCTCCAGGCCACCGTGCACACCAAACCCCCCCCCCCCCCCCCCCCAGACCCTTTACACTACTTCCTGTGTCTCTGTGAATCTTCGTGGGAGGGGCGGGGGGAGGCGACAGTGAGGAGTCCAGCCCCCCTCTGCACTCCTCACTATAAATAATCAATGAAAATCTCTGATTTACACTTATTAGTCACACTGAGGGAGGGCTCTCAAGATCACACACACACACACACACACACACACACACTCAGTGATGTTAAGTCATGTACTGTGACTCATATAAACACTCATGTGAAATTCTCCACCTGATCTTGCACGTATAGAGAATATTAGAGAATATTGCTTCCTGACGCCACACACACACACACACACACACACACACACACACACACACACCTACACACCTACACAGTTGCAGGGCTGGAGCCTCCTCGCAGCCTGTGGAGAGTTTTGCTCATTAAGATAATATTATGGTCTGCTCTGGTATCAGTCGTTCCCCTCTGCCCTCAGCCGACTGTATGATCGTTATTAAAAAGGCTGTTGTGCTTTGGGAAGAGGTTGTCTATTTGTTCTGTTTCCACGCTTCGTTCTTCCCATCAGGAGGAATAACTCTGTGTGTGTGTGTGTGTGTGTGTGTGTGTGTGTGTGTGTGTGTGTGTGTGTGTGTGTGTACATTTTTATTAGTTAGTAACAGATGGCACACTAAAGACCAGTAGCCCACCGGTCAGACTGTGTGATGTTGCTCTGACCGACGCTGATCGATGACTTTGTGATGGCTGCAAATTTTTCTCGCTGGATTAAAACAGGATCTTCTTCTTCTTCTTCCCTCCTCCTCCTCCTCCTCCTCCTCCTCCTCCTCTCAGGCCGTGTGACCCCCGAACAGCTGTGCTCCTACATGCAGCTGTTCCGGAGCAGTTGGGGGGCGCTAGAGAGTCACTGCGGGGTGCTCCAGCTGGGCCTGGCCGCGGCCCAGACGCTCCGCCACCCGGACCTGCCCCGCTGGGATTCCTGCCTGGCCTTCGAGCGGCTGCTGCTGCAGGTCCGTGCTCATCTTACACAAACCTTTTATCCATATGTGTCGGAGGCGGGATATCCAGCACTTAGAAAAACCTGACGACTGACACAAACGTTTTTCAACCCTTTAACTACAAAACAAGTTTTTCAGATGCAACACAATCCCCCAACATTTTATTTTTTAAATATGAAGGAATGCAGCTCGTATATCTAAAAGAATGCACGTGTCATTTTAAAATTATTTCCTAGACAGAGTCACACGGACAGAATGAACATTCACTGGCTCTGGTATTTGTAATCAACCCCCGGTGATTATTCTTTCACATCTCTCCCTTCGGTAAATATTTTACTGGCGGGGCGCTGCAGGTAAGTGGGTGCTTGTGGTTCGCTAAACGGTGGCCAGAATGTTGTGTTGAACTGACAGAGACGAGGGGGGAAAAAAAACGCAGATTCCTGTGCTTCATAAACAAGGTCAGTTGTGTTTGTAGGGAAAACATTCAGATCCAGTAAACAGTGAAAAAAAAAAAAAAAAAAACGCCAGATTTCCATCATGTTATTTGGAGGAGGAAGGGGTCTAGTTTACGGGGGCGGACAGAGGCGGATGTACACGTGTGTTTGAGTTTGGAGAGGTCAAAGGGCGAATCTGATGGAGGGGAGAGACAGGGGACGGAGGGGACAAAGGGGGGGTTGGGGTGGAGTATGAGAATAAATAAAAAAGCCAGACCTGAAAGTCATCTCTCACTTCACATGTTTACCTGTGATCAGCAAAAGTATTCAAAAACTGTGTACATCACCGTGACGACGAGCTAAACAACGCCGTGCTGTCTCTTACCTTGCTCTTTCCTCAGAGCCTCTTCATATTCCTGAAGCTGTAAAGACAGCCGAGTATTTAGGAACTTATTAAACTAAATCACGGAAAAATAAAACGAGCTCGCAGCAGTTGCCCCCGTGCCTAATTGGAATTTGAAAACAACCTCATAAACCTCGGTCCTCAGCTGGGGCCATCGCTTTATTAAATGAAGGAAGAAGACTTTAAGGCTTATGGTTCCAGTATCCATTTACTCCACTTTGATCTACTCCCCCGTGGTTGTCTACGATACCTGGATAATTCAAAGTACAACTTTCTCACCGCTCTTTTTCTTCCTTTTAGCTTCAGCCTCAGAGCGAGCAGGTTTCCGAGGTGACTGTGTCCCCAGGTGGAAGTGGGCCTGTGTTAAGAACAGACTGTTGTTGTATTTAGCATCAGGATAGTATATATAACGCTTGGCGCAGGTTCAGAACGGCATTCTTCAGGAATCAGATCTCACAGTCAGGCCTTGAGCGCGACGTGAGAGTCGGTGTTTGCAATCAAAACGGGCCTGAGTTTTATTGAGGTATTAAAGGAAATGAGTTGTGTGTCCTCTGTGCCCCCGCTGTTTGTTTAATTTCCATGTGAGGTTTTCGCCTTGGCTCAACATGGACAGGGAGAAGTTAATTACATTACAAAATGGCGGGGTGAAACGCCTCTCGGCTCTGCCTGGCGCTGGAGGCCTGTGTTTGCTCTGCCTGAGTGTGTGAGAGCTCTGCTGTGGGTACGACCGGGCAGAGCCGGACACTCCGTCGCTGGTGGACAGTGTGAGTTCATTCAGGCCAACTCCTCTGTGGCGCGCCGGGGGCCCGGGAGCGGGCAGTGGCCGCACTGAGGCGAAGGGGCCACTGAGTTCAGGGACCGGCCTCTTCCAACGCTTTGTCTCTATGAGACACTGGGTAACTGCTGCAGCGTCGTACTCATGAGGTCACGCCTCAATGTGCTGTAACACGTGGAAGGACATGTGCTGTGCATTTGCAGGTTGCTAATGGCAACCGTTGCCATTGAGGCCGGCGGTGTGTCTTGCAGCCGGGAGGTTAATAAGATGGGGGGGGGGGGGGGCACAGATGTGGCCATGGAAGATTGACACATTAGTTGGATATAAATGTGGTTAGTGTGATGCGTTTACGCTGCCGTTGCATTTATTACCTCCACAGTATAGTGCTTATATTTATGTGACACGGCCACATATCTTCTTGGCTGGCACTGCCACCCTGCCTGCACCCGCCCCCCCCCCCCTGCTGCCCTGGGTGCCCTGGCTGTCTGGCATGTGACTGGCTTTTGGGTCTGAATGGGACAGATTGAGCAGACTTGGTGCAGCTCCAGCCCGCAGTTACAGAAAGTGTATGCTAGACATGCTCAGCGCTGGTGCGGCCAAGGCGAAACTCAACAGACTCGCTCTTTCACCACTTCCCAGAACATCACAGGCGCACCACGCTACCCTCCCATCAGCCGCCCAGCCAGAGCCTCTACCTCACCAAACTAAACATGTACACTTCTACTGTACATCCCTCCCAACGAGACACGGCTCGGGACGAGTTGCAGCTGCATATTTCCTTTTTTTCTTTTTTTAACTAATGACAGATTCTCTTTAAGGCCAGTTTTGTCTCTGACTGTGCAGCCCACTGCTGATTAGTCTGTCACATCGCCGAGCATGGTCGCGATGACAGCAGTGCAGTAGAGAGGAGCTAACCTCTCTCACCCCGGCCTGTTGCTTTACTCCGCTGGGATTACCAGGGCATGCCTCTGCAAACATTCAAGCCTCCGAGTTATTACTGGTCACAGCGCCGCTCGTCCGGACGTCCCCGCCTCCTGCCCGCCTGGTCCTCGTCTGTGTCTCCGCTGCGTGTTTGTGTTTTACTTTGAAATGTACATTAAAGTCGAGCTATGACGCGGCGTCTTTTTGGCATTCATTTGCATCAGTGGAATTCCATAGCGGGAAAAATCCAAAGAATACAAGAAAATAAGATTTTGATCCATGTCAGTTTAGAGCAGGTTTCCTATTTGTTCCTTTCAGATTGGTTTGAATGAGTCTTTGACTCTGAGGAACAGGAACAAATAATTCTGCTCTGAAACACTCTGTTTATGCTGCCGTGTCATTTTCAGACTGATGTTTTGTTTTGTTGCCGGCTGCGTCTCCATGTCTGGGTTGGAGCAAGGTGACCCAACAAACCTACCACCTACCAACCCCCCCCCCCTGTACAGTGTCAGTGTGTGCTGGCCTAAAGACTCATGACCCTTCACCTCTGACCCCCCCCCCCCTCTCCTGGACATAAACTGACCTGCAGGGGCTCAGACCTGCAGTATGTCAGGAGCCTGACAGTGAAATCCATCATCATCTCCCCTTATGTAAAAATGTGGAGCAACGCCAATCTGCACCATACTTAACATGCAGTTTTATCCACACACACACATATATACAGTATATGTATATAAATTTATATGTAACATCTGGATTGTATCATTTTTATGGCAGCGGAGGGGGAAATGTTGATATTGGTCCCAAGTAACTTTCATCTTATCTGAGCTGCATGCCACAGACAGACAGGGGGCTTTAAGCCTGTAATTGGCCTTTCCCCAGGCTATGGAGCCTGTCCCCACATCCCAGACATTCCCCCCCGATCCTCCTCTGCTGTGTCCCCGCTGGGGGGGGGGTACTGCACTGCTGTGTTTAGCTGAAGATTGTAACAAAGAGGTGTGAATGACTCGGGGGCGCTGCCCCTGAGATGTCCAGCGCTGACCTCCTGCACTTCCCCACTGTTTAACAGCCTCACATCTGGACTGACCTGGACCGACTGTCTCCCCGTCCGTCCACTCTCTGAACCACAGTCGTCGTCCCCCCTCCCCCCTGTGTGTTTCCTCTCTGTCGCCTCCTCAGGCCCGGAGCAGAACGAACCACAGGAAGGTTCGGGGGTCCGCTCGTGTCTGTCTCTCTCCCATCATCCTCTCTTTTTTTCCTTTTTTAAACACGCCACGTTTCCCCTGTATCTCTTGTTTTGTTTTCTTCCAAACATACGCCTCTCCGTCACGTATACACGTGTGCACTGTACGACATGAACTCCGCTGCTCCGCTGCACTTTGAAGCACAACAAGCTTCTTTCTAAAACCAGAGGAAAATACGAGAGTTGCAGGAAAAAAATAAAAACGTTGGGTTTATCAGAAGAGTGAGTTATTTACCTATCTCTTCCTTCCTGTGTTTAGTCGGAGAGGATTACAGCGGGAGAGAGAGGAGCAGTGATGGAGTTCACTCCCACCCCTCCACCCCCACCCCCACACCCCCGGTACCCTGAGACGGCTGTGTTTACATTGCTCTGCGCAGCTCAGCTCCTAATGTACTATCTGTTTAATAGGCAGAGAGAGGCCTGTTTATAGAGAGGGACCTTTTTAACAGAGGTGATGGGTTGGTAGGCCAGAGGGCAACACCAACTCATCTCACTTCCTGTTATCATTACCTCTCTTCTCTCAGACAGATAGGTGCTTGGCTCGCTCCGCTCTCTGCATTACTTATCCTTAATCGCCTCGCCATCCCGCCGACTGCGAACCCCGCTCGATCCGGAGAAACTCGGGGAACACGAGACGCGGGGGGGGCTCAATCAAGTCGCCTCATATTAAACCTCACTGACTCCACTTCTGGGCTCGATGCTAATTTGCATGTGCTGCTTTTTTTAAATGTTCTACTAAGCATCTTTCTACTACATCTATATCTCAGCCCACTGAACTGAAACTTTATAGGAATTGCTTTGGTGTTAATAGCTGTGGAATTATAGAGCTGCAGCTACGTTACAGCCAGGGGAGCAGGACGGGCTCCTAAAGGCTTTAACACACTAAACATTTTCTCTTTTACTTTAAGTGGCCCCCTTTTTTCTTTTTGTTTTGGCATTGTTCTGCATTGAGTCAGAGTTGCATTCGCAGCATATGTCAGATGTTTTTTCATTTTTTCCCCCCTCGAACCGGTCTTCATTCTTCACTGCGGCTGTTCAACTGTGCAGCTTCACATCAGGAGGATTTTTCATGTGGCCTGGAGGTTTTTTTTCCTCATGAATGTGTGTTTTTGAGGGTTCTGCAGGATTTAAACTGAATGTTTTTCACAGCCTCAGCCAAAAGCTTTTTTTTTTTTTTTTTTTTTTTCTCACACTTGCTCAGACCAAACAGAACGAAAACGGTTGATCTCTCTTGGA